TATATATATATAGCTTCTCCCTAAAATACTCTTCTCCCTTTTCCAGATGGAGAGTCCGTACTGCACAATGCCGTTCAAAATTCGCAGCTTGAAGTCATGAAAGTACTACTAGCATACAACCCGGATGTCAATTGTCGAACAAACCAAAGCGCAACGCCGCTACACTGGAGTGCGGTAAGAGTAGTTGATACACTTTCTGTGAGATGATTGTTACTATGATGGTAGCCTCATATTTCCGCGGACGCCTGTTTTGAGATCAAATTTCGCCAGCCACTCTGCCAGAAAGAAGTGCATGAGAAATTTGTGTTAAACCGCACAAATCCGATATTTGTAACATTCTTCTTCACGTGAACGAGTGCGTGCATATATCGGACGTTCTCAAGTTCCTATAGTGTCGCATTGTTACAGCATTCGCACCAAGAGCCATATTCACCTGATATGTACGGATTTTCACACAGGGGAGGGGGTTTGTAGAACCGTCTCGCCTACTGCTTCAGTCAACTGCTGATGTAGACGCGGTAACAAACAAGGGGCGATCAGCGCTTCATTTCGCTGCGAAAGGGCCGCACCCGGCGATGGTGAGGTGAGTGAATGCAAGAGAGGCCAGTATACGAAAATGAATAGTGTCTTGGGGTCACACAGATGGCTTCGTGAGGGTTTCAGCGAGGGAACTGTATTTTCGGTGTCAGTTTGTGGAGAAGATACCATCTCAAATGATGTTGATACAAAGAGCTCGTCCACGAGAAAAGTTTAGCTATACTATATATTTATCCGAGTATGCCTTTGTGTCCTTTCATGTATTAACTGTGGCAGTGGTCGCTTGAATTTTCTTATCAGTACGCTTTTCATCTTGCATTCGAAGGCTTCTTCTGCAGGCCGGAGCGGATTGTAATCTAGTTGATGGCGATGGGGTCTCTCCGCTGGCACTCGCAGTACGAAGTGGATGCATCACGAGCATAGCTTACTTACTGTCATATGGGGCGGACACACGCACACTACCGTCGATGAAGACAGGTATATACACATTCATAAACAATATATAAGCGAAACTTCATCAAATATACGGGGTGCAGATACAGCCGTATAAAACTTAGATATTATTAGGATCATACTGCACGATACTTGTCATCTCGCTTTACATGGCCTATTTGCGTACAATGGCGGACGAAGTCATAATTTTGCACATAACGCGTACAAGCTGAAGGCGAGGCTATGGTCAACGCCTGTAAGTCATAGTGAAATGGTTCTGTCGGAGACCAACTCACTTGCAAGTTTCCACACTATGCCATTATGCAGACAACAAGAATGAACGAAAAGCAGAGCACAAATTCACGGCGTCGTCGGTATTGGGCGAACTCAACAATGCGCCGTCCCTGTCGTCTTCTCTCCGCTGCGCTCGGTTGCTGGTAGCGCATGGGGTTGGGACGTGGTCACACATGCCAGGCACCATTCAATCCCACCTCATAAAAGAAGGTACGTAAACATATATAAGCATGCCACTACATACATATTCTAATAAATATATTTTCGAA